AAATAGTTATTTTATCACTGCAATGTACTTAAACTATTTAAGATGTCCAAGAGCACAAGTAATCTGCAAACAGTGAGCATATGATATGTACTGCCATAAATAAAATGATTATAATGATACATACCTTAATAAAATATGGTTCAACTTAGCGAGAGTTAAGAATAAAATTAGAGCTTCGTGCTGATAACATGTTATAAAATAAAAGCAATGCAGTAAAATGTAAATAAGAAGAGATAGAAAGAAAGGAGAAACGTTTTCTTTTTTCACTTTGGTGTATCTTTCCATGACAATTACACGTCTTTTATATGCATAAAAAGTTATTCACAACATGGACATCCAATGTAGCATCCAATGTACAAACTATTCGTAACAACATTGTCGATATGTACGTAACTGTTATTGTCGGTCCGTTTTATTTGGGCTGACCAAGGATTGTGAATTGGGTTAAACCCTGGTTACTGATTAAGTGGGCTAAGAGCTGTTTTCTCGGACTCGGGCTTAAGGAAGAAACAATGAGGAAAAATTCCGGCGACTCCATCGTCGACGTGAACTGTTCTAATGGTACAGTAAATGACAGAGTGGTTCAACTGTGACGATCCACTTATATTCGGGAAATAACTTTTAGGTGAAGTTGTTCCTGTACTCTAAAACCAGGTTCTACTTTATGGTTTCTGAAAAAATTCAATCTTTTCAACGTGAATTATAGTTTGTTCTAACACTGAGTTAGTACGATGTTTTTCTCTTCTTGTTTATTTGGGAATGCTTAATTTCTGCTTTTTTTGCTACATTAAAGGGTTGGAATTTTCAATAGGAGCAAAAATGTTACAAACCCAACGCTCTCAAGCAACTGTTCTTGTCTCCAAACTGCTGAAAATCCCACCACTCAAAGCTCTCACACTCTTCAAATCCTCAACAGAACTAGGCTTCCAACAAACTCACCAATCCTTTGCCATTATCCTAGACCAGCTTCTCTCATGCAACGCGCTCTCACGCGCTCAATCTCTCATCTTACAGTTAGTTTCTGGTAAAATCACTTCACCCCATTTCACTGTTTCTTCCTTGCTTCACCATTTGACACATTCCCAGTTCTTGAATTCTACTCATTTATATGAAATAATCATTAATGCCCATGTTCAATCTCAATTAGTAGATAAAGCTTTGATCTTTTTTAATCAAATGATTGATAAAAGACTTGTACCTACATCAAATACTTTTAATACTATACTTTCTTGTCTTATAAAAAATAGATCTTTTGAAAAGGGTTGGTCTATTTTTGAAGAATCAATTGGAAAGGAGTTCTTGGATATGCATAGTTTTGGGATAGTGATAAAGGGTTGCTGTGAAAATGGTGACTTGAATGGTGCCTTTGAGGCCTTAGCCAAATTGAAAGACTTGGGTTGGCACCCGAATGTTGTAATATATACAACTATGATTGATGGATGTTTTAAGCACGGTAATGCTGGACGAGCAAAGGAGTTGTTTAGTATAATGTCAGCTGAGGGTATCGTTCCTAATCAGTACACTTATTCTGTTTTGCTTAGTGGTTTCTTTAGGCAAGGACTTAAAACCGATGGCTTTGAGCTTTATGAGAAGATGAAGCTTGAGGGAGTATTTCCTGATATATATACTTATAACTCTCTTATTAATGTGTATTGCAGCGATGGAAAAGTTAACAAAGCATTTGGATTATTTGATGAAATGCATCGTAATGGTGTAGTGTGCAATATTGTAACTTACAACACTTTGATTAGAGGGTTATGTCAAGAGAAGAGGGTATCAGAAGCTGAGAAATTATTGGAACGATTAAAGCAGGCTGGTTTGCACCCTAATTTGATCACATACAACACTCTAATAGATGGGTATTGCCGCGCTGGAAAGCTTGAGAAAGGATTAGCTTTGTTCAATCAGATAAAGTCCTGTGGATTAACACCTACTTCAATCACATATAATACTTTAATTGCGGGTTTCTCTAGAGCTGGAAATCCATCAAGGGTTGTTGACTTTGTTCGTGAGATGGAGGAAAGAGGCATATTTCCTTCAAAAGTCACATACACAATTCTAATTGATGCATTTGCTCGATCGAAAGACATGGAAAAAGCACTCGAGGTATTCTCGCGTATGCATAAAGCTGGTTTGAGTGTAGACCTTTGTACATTTGGTGCCTTGATACATGGATGGTGTAGTCAAGGGAATATGAAGGAAGCATTGAAGTTGTTCCGATCAATGGCTGAACATCATCTGGAGCCTAATGATGTAATATACAATATGATAATATTTGGATACTGTAAAGAGGGCAGTTCCTATAAAGCGTTGAGGCTGCTTAAAGAAATGGTTGAGAATGGAATGGTTCCAAATGGAGCAAGCTATTGCTTGACAATTGAAGTTCTTTGTAATGATGGGAAGTGGAAAGAGGCCAAAGTTCTTGCCAATGGCATGATTAAATTTGGTCTAAGGCCCTCGGTATCATCATGTGATCTGATTCAAAAGGCAATTGACATGACAACTTAAGTATATTGTGATGGCGGTCCCTTAATTATTTGCACAGAATGATCAATGGGGAAAAACATTAACTGGAAAACTGGTGAAGCCTAAAATATTTTAGAGTGCCTTGTACTCAGTATCATGGTAAGCTTGACTGCCACTAACACCTTTTGGTATTGAACGGTGGGTGTTTATTGCAGTTTCATGTCGTTGGTTTATATGTTATGTCCTAGTGTATCTAGTGAATTATGTGACCGTTCTCTTGTTCCATGTTAATGTAGTTCATGTTATTTATTTTGCAGTGTTGCCCTTCTGAAAGATTATGCAGACCACTTAATCACAAGCTTCCGCTGATTCTTGACAGAAAAGAAAAGTGGAGGCTTTCTTAAACAAGTTTGTAAATAATTTGGATATTATACTTACTACAGAAGTCTCGTCAACATCGGAATTCGGTAACAGCTGCATGCTACTTTTACTTTTATCATATGAGGTACAGAAATAACTTGTTCATCTGTCCTGTCTCGGATTAGATTGAAGATATAAACTATAATAGTTATTAGGATCTCTTGTTGTTGTTAGTGTTATATTTTCTCTAAAAAGGAGCTTAACAAAGTTGTTGGGATTACTCTTTATGGGTGCGAAATGAGGTGTTGGTCTCACCAAAGTTCTTGAACCAACCGATAGAGCAGCTGATCTAGCAGCTGATCTTTGTTTCAGGGTGTCAATGGACCACTCATCTCCATATATGTTAAAGGGGCAATTAATCTTTTGGATGGGTCATTATGTATGCTAGAGTTAAGCTAAAAGTATCTGATCATTATATTTGACGAAAGACTTTACCATGTCTTATTCCTTTGCTGTATTTCTCTTTCAGGAACATAAATGTAGATAAATCTTCTGCCTTCTTTGGAGGTAGTGAGAGACAAGGTTAAAGCCTTTTTAACAATTCCCAGGGTTATGGCTGCTGCTGCTGCTGGTACTCCGAATAAATATGTGTGTGCGTGTGTGTGTGTGTGAAAAGCGGGAAACTAAAATTCAAAATCAACCACCCTTTCACTGTTTAAGGAGAAGCATCTCCTCCTGGTAACCATCACTTTACTGAAGGATCAATACTTGAGTAATAGGAAAAGAATCAATATTGTAATTGTAAGCATTGTCATTCTAGATTGCTGCAGTTTTTGCTGTGGACGTTTCCGTAGTAGGATGAGCAAAAGTTTTTTGAATGTAATTTGTTGGTGTTGATCTGAATATTGTGTCGACAATTTCCATTAAGCAGAGCTATTAGTATTTGAATATTTTGCACAACCCCTGAATTCTGTCACCAAAGATACTAGTTAATGATGCAATTCAGTTTTGCTGATGTAATCTTCTTTGGCTTACTCTTCAGTTGTTCTATTTTGATGTACATTATTTCAGTTGTTGCCCTTTGGATTATATACTATTCTAACTTTCACAAACCTTCTGATTCCACACTGCCTTGTATCTGCACTCTCAAACTTGGACCAAAGTTGTGAGAAGGTTTAGATATTGGTTGTTCCTCATATTATTGCTTCTTTCTATTTCTCTGCTAAGTACAACAGCAACAAACCCAGTGTAACCGCACAAGTGGGGTCTGAGGAAGGTAGTGTGTACGCAGACCTTACCCCTACTTTAAGAAGATAGAGATGATGTTTCCGATAGACTTTTATTTCTCTGCTGCTAAGTGTTTACCGTAAATCGTAACTCTTGCCTATGTGTATGTGAGTTTAGCAATAGATAGTTGGTTCCAAACTGGAATAAAGGAGGGTTACTTATCAAACAATAGAGAGAAACTGTGGTAGGTTGATAGCCACTATAAAAATATTTTAACTATGAAAAATCGGTGTGAGTAAGAGGGTAGTCGGCGAAATTATATGAATTTGAATGGTACTTCAGCTTCAACAATCGTATCCTCCCTCCAGCAAATAAGGTGGAGTGGGCAAGGCAGAAAAGACAGGAAAACACAAGCTCAAACATCAGTATTTCCATTACCTGCGAAAGTAAGGGAAGCATTTCCGGTGAATAAGAACTAGAATTTCCATTGGGTTGGGGGCTAAGAGAGATTGCAAATGTTTAAATAAGAGTGTACCTATCGTCGTTTGCTCTCTCTTATTAGAAGAAGAAAGAGGTGCGACCTCACTCGGCTCGAGGAAGTAGCTCTTTCAATTAATCCATACTTTTTCTTTCCATCTCCTTGCAACTGTAAAAATGTTGAATTTCTTTTTTTACACCGGCACAAATGATTTCCCCTAAGGCATCTAGATGACTACGATCTTAATGATATGTATAGTTGATTCCAACTAGTTTGATTTAAGATGCATGCAGTTAATATATACTATGGTCTAACAGCTGTGGACTTGTAAAATCTTTCTGGAAAAGTTGAGCCCTCAATTATCCAAATAGAAAAACAATTGATTGATTGCATATAGAATAGATTTTGAAAGGATAATAAAGAGTGAGAATAGATCCATAAAGTGTAGTACCAAAAGAAGAAAATTTATCAAATATAGTCATGGATTCATTTTACCATATAGAATGGTTCTTTTGGTCATAAAGTTTTTTTCTTTTTTTCTTCATTTTCTTTTATTGGACAGAAGGACCACCCCACCATATTCTGAAAACTAGTACTACTCCTTTCATGTGGTAATCAATTGGGACCAGAGACCTCCGTGTATGAAAAATCACTGACAACATGACCAATGAGGAAGAAATTGCAATCAGTATACAAATTTAAAAGTGCAAAAATAAATACTAGGTTGGGGCCCATATTAGGTTATGAGACTTAGGGTGTGTTTGGTACGAAGGAAAATATTTTTCAATTTTTTTTATGTTTGTTTGGCTTAAATGTTTTGGAAAACATTTTCCTCAACAACTCATTTTCCTCCAAAATGTTTTACCTATCAAGAGAAGGGAAAATATTTTCTAAAAAAAATTTTCAACCTTCTCAACNTTTAAAAAATATTTTCTTTTCATGATGTAGAAAAAGTATCTTCTTCCATTTCAACAAAATGAGTATTTTCTTTTCATGATGTAGAAAAAGTATTTTCTTTTATTTCAAATAAATGATTACTTTATTTTCATGTTGTAAAAAGAATACTTTCTTTTTCAATAAAAAAAGAGCATTTTTTTTTATAGTTATGGAGCATAAATCTCAACGTTGCTTTGCGTAAAAAAGTAAAGCAGCACATTAGTTCCTTTGGGTTTGTGTACATTTTTAGAAGAATAATTAAATTATTGTAGAAAATAGATTCTTGAAAACGTTGGGTAT